AAATATGATGTCACAAAGCTCTGCCCCCCCCCCCTAAAAAAAAAAAACATGCTTCAAATCGGTTGAAATTATTGTCATTGTAGTGCGTATTTAATGTGCCGCTGCACTCTGATGTTGTAGGAGAAAACATTTATCAAAAAGTCTATTTAATTAAGTAGAACGTGTTGTCTATATTTATTTAAAGTTGCGCATTTTGATGTGACGTCACATTTCTCAACCCCCCCCCCCCTCGTCACACATCGTCACAAATGTCTGACCCCCCCCCCCCCAGGTGCGTGACGTCATTTATGGACGGCCCCTAAGCCAACCGTGGCTAATCGGATGCTGCGGGGGAAGGACTTCAAACGAAACACACACACACATTAAGTTTTCACGAAATGAGTGTTCAATCAAGATGATTTAAAAGTGCACCGGCTCCAGTGGTCTCCTAACATCGGAGGGAAGAACGTTCCAGACGGGCCGCAGAAGCGCATCTGAAAATCGCTGCGACGCCTTTGTTCGATGGCCATCCCGAAAACTAAATCCGCTGCCGCGTCGATGAGCGGAGTTCGCGTGATGTTTCCACGGTCCGTACCCCGTATATACTTGAACGGCCGTGTCGGTGCCCGGTGTCACTTGCGTGGTCTATGTCAGCCGCGTACAGCGGGTGACGTTTGCTGTCAACTTGTGACCCCCCCCCCTCCTCTTCACTCCCTCCGGGTCGTTCTCGCAATAAAGATAATTCGGCGTCTCAGTGTGTGGTTCTCAGCTGCTGAAATACAAACATTTGTTTCGTCGACACAAACATGAACAACAACAAAGTACACGAACCGCATTGGTCATTAACCCTGCCCTTATTAAGGCGCTGTCAACACCCGGTGTCGAATTTGTTTGCATACGTCACACACACACACACGCGTAAAGATACACACCGTGTAACTCAATCACACACACACACACAAAAAAGACACCCCGTATAGTGATTGATAGACTCTTGGGGAAAGTGCTGTTCGCGAGCACCTATGAAGGCCGGGCACGGTACACAAAAAGGGTGGGTGGCCAGCATCACCCCCGGCCGCCTTTGTCTCCCCAGTGGCGATGTTCACACACCGCACCAGGTAATCAGTTTGAGGCTGAGTCTACCTATGGGAGGCCCAGGACCAGGTTCAAATCTTCGTCCCTGTTCTTGGTCGTGAATGGGAATCGAACTCGCGTCGCCGGGTTTGTAACAGCAGCGCGCTAAGCCGCGACTCTGCCGCTCCACACTTAACATCTGTGAAAAAGAGCGTTGTGTGTCATCGGATTCCTCCAGCCTAAATACAGATTCTGATTCTGAACATCCACACATCCACGCGCACATACATAGAGCACATGTTTCTTTAATAAGAGCACTGACACTCCCACGTGTTCCTACACAAATCATACAGTACGTAATAAAGATCCATCATGTGCATCCGTTTGTCAATCCACTGCTGGATGAAGGCGAGTTAGTACTTGGGGTTGTTTGACCATACTTCACCACTCTGGTCAGTTCGAAAGGTGATCGGGGCGGGGCGGGGCGGGGGGGGTAGGTCCCGAAGATCGGTTCAGGTCGTGGGAATCGTTTGCCTGGGATTCGACCTCGTACATACATGGGCTACATTTATGATGGCAGGCGAGACAGAGCACAACAACGGAGATCTGGGATACACGAGCAAAACTAGAATCATCAGAGAACACATGTCAACGCTGAAAAGGGTAAAGGCGCGATCGTTAAATTATAGAACAAAAAAAAGTTAAAACGAATTTGCTGCATCCTGAATGTATTTTTTTATTCACGTTCGTGTCTGTGATATGTGACGACAAGTCGCTTCCTTAAGTCGCCCGAATTCGCGAGTACGCGTTGCAAAATATCATCCGCGATTGATTGTGGCAGCCGATGAAGGGGATGGGAGGAATCGAACATCGCCCGCCGAATAGAGATGGGAGCGAATAAACCGGTGAATGTGCAGATTCTTAGGTGGATTATCAACATCGACAGATCTTGAAAGGCGGCGGCGGTGGTGGAATCTTGGGGACGACTTGATCCAGCAGTGGATTGACCATGGCTGCGGCTGCTGCTGATGATGATTGGTATTATTCACGTGCAATGCACAAATGGGGGTTCGCTCACTGAAAGGTGGTGGCAAGCTGATCAATACACATTGATCACTACGTGCATAATTATTTTAATTTAGAGATAACGACTCGTGTAAAAACAAATTCACTACGTAAACACGGAAGAACCCCCCCGTGATGTATCAGCGAGTTGAATCGATGGGAGAAGCAGTGGCGGCTGGAAGTACTGCACGGATCTTTGATTTGAACACTCCGGGTGTTTTAATTTCAGTTCTCAACGATGTTCCTGGAATTATTTGGGCGTAATTAATGTTGAGTTATTATTTGCGGTTATAAACTTGTTCAAGGTATTATGAGATGTGCAGGGCACAATGAAGCGGGATTATTGTGCATATGGGTAACTTGTATCCTAGCCTAAGCATCGTTCTGGAAAATATCCAGAGATACATTAATCCCTATTAATCCTCTGTATCGCCAACCCTGAATCCCATTACCTTGATCCGCGAGAATCTGTGAATAATGATACGAATGGGAATTGCTATCGATACAACGGCAGTACATAAAGCGTGGGGGAGGGGGTTGACTCTACAGAGTCAGGATGAGTGGGAAATGCCAGGGGAGATCATTTGTGCGTGTTTGTTATTTTCTTTAAGGATCAAGTGTAGATATTCTATCCGGTACACGTTTGCGATTGTGGACAATATATATTCATAGGATTATGATGATGATGGCAATGAAGATTGATCATGATTGATGTGGTGATAATGATGACTGATAATTAATTCATGAATACGGTGATTGATGGTGATGATCGGATGATGACGGTGATAACGGTGATGGTGGGGACAAACACTGATTTTTAGTGAGTATGATGGTGATGATCGAATGATGACGGTGATAACGGTGATGGTGGTGACAAACACTGAATTTTGGTGAGTATGATGATGATGGTGGTGGTGATGATAATCCATGGTTGGTGGGGAAGGGATAACAAATGTAGTCTCAACATCCACCAGCAAATGTTCGCTTAAGACTGTGTTACTTTATATTTGATGTCTGTTTGGATTTAAAATATCACGCTGCTTGCCGATCAGATAATTACTTGTTTCATTTTTTTGCAATATTAAGTACTAACACAGGAGCACTTACGTGCCACACTCATACGAGCGCTTACAGATTTACTTGTGTACATTAATTCAGTTTACCGCACGTATATATACACGCAGATAAATACACACACATGATGTGGTGTATACAGTGATGTAACACACGCGCGCATATTCACACACATACATACACACATACTCACACTTACACTCATACATAGCTTTAACACGTTGGCTTTCGCGACCAATATTATCCATAAGAAGTTGTTTTGGGTACGAGATCGCTTAAATATAAATGTGTCGTTAAAATCCGCCACCACTCGACGCAGCCAATTAGCAAGGTTTGTTACTTAAACAAAACATGCAAATTCGTTACTAGTGCAGAAAGCCTCTTGTTTCGTTCTTACATACATACAAAGACAAAGATCCCCCGTATAGCCTTTACAGACTGTTGGGGCTAGTGCTGTTAGCGAGCACCTATGAAGGCTGTCACGGCGCACGAGGGGGTGGGTGGGCCAGCACCACGCCCGGTCGCCTTTGTCTACCCAGTGGCGATGTTTACACATCGCACTGGGTACTCATTTGAGGCTGAGTCGACCTAGGGGAGACCCAGGACCGGTTCAGATAATCGTCACCTGTGGTGGCCGCGAGCGGGAATCGAACTCGGGTCGCTGGGTTCGTGGTGCAGCGCACTAACCGCTACACCACCACTCCCCGCATCAAAACACTCATACACACACACATTTCAACTCGCACCAGCACGAAATCATCCACTCGTTGTGGCGCTTAAACGCTAATTATCCTTCACTCACACACACGAAAACTGCACGGACAACGCATTTTAAAATGTATTTTTATGAACCAAAAACAACCACACGCACACACGCACGCACATATATATGTCTCCATTGCAAAACAAAACAAATATAAATTATACACCCGTTTCGAACAATAATCCAACCCTCACACACACACACACGTGTCTATAGTTAACCCACTTAGTCTGACACACGCGTCTATAATGATCATATGGTCCGGATGATAAGACGCTCCAGAAAGTACGACGCATCCAAAACTTGTGAGAGGTATATTCTTAGGTTTTTTTTCGGTAAAGTCACGTAGGTAAAAAAATTAAATTTAAATAAATAACTTTTACTTTTATTAATTTAAATTTTTTACCTGCGTGACTTTACCGAAAAAAACCTAAGAATATGAATCCTTGCAGTCACGAAAGCTTCAAATCTAGAACTTGTGAGAGGTGTCAATGAAGTTGAGTCGACCGAGGCCATTCCCATGACCGCACGCGCCTGCCGGATTACAAGTCACATCCCCTATTGACAATTACTCTCAAATACAGAGGGAGGGAGAGGGGGGGAGGGAGAGGGGGGGGGGGGAAATGTGCGTCTCATAATCCGGATAATCCGTTAATTCACTTCGCCCGACGCAACACGCGTGTTACAGCGAAAGCTGCGCTCGCCTGCCGAGTCGTGGGCTTGAGCGACACCGGACAGCGCTGCTTGCTTACTAAACCACCGTGATTTTATGTCTAATTATACAAATAGTTCCACTGGCATCCATGCAGGGGAGGTTGGAGAGAAGGGGGAGGGGGGGGGGGGTAGAGGTGGGGGTGAAAGGGGGGGGGGGTAACGTAAGCCACAAGGCAGCCGCGCTTGTTAACGTGGCCCCACGCCTCGTCCGATGTTCGGCTGATGTCCTCTTGCGATTGGCCACGGTGTCGATTGTAATTACTTTCCTAAGTGGCTAGTCATCATCTGACGGGGGGTAGGGGGTGGGGGGGTTGATGAAGGGGGTGGGTGGGTTGTGGTGGGGGCTGTTCGCTGTGGGGGGTTAGCAGAGGCGGTCAGCGGTATGCAAATGAGGTCCATCAGAGAGGAGCTTGATTGTTTAATTTCCATCACGACCCGGCACGGATACACACACCACACACACCACGCGCACATTCGCGCGGGGAAGCGACACGAGATTTCGCACACAGCGTCAAGTTATTTACAATCCTCGTAGCCTGGGGGGGTATTTGTATACAACTCGGGGGCTACCCACACACAGTACACGTAAAGGTTATTTTTTGTATTGTCTCTGTACGTGTGTACGTGTCTATATATATATATATAAGTATAGTTATGCGTTAATGATCATAAGTTATTAATTTACTGAACGACCACGCATTTAGGAGGAGCGGTATAGGGAGGCATCAATATCGTGTCCCTATCTTCACGCGGACTCTTTCACCTCCTCGACTGTCAGAACATCCACACGCACGCGCGCACAGCAGCAGCAGTAGCGACTAACACCGCACGCCGAGAGCATCGGACACTTCCGAATAGCACGGTTGGCTACGTCCGGTGCGAAAGAAGTTCAACATACATACGTACACCCGAAACAAAAAAATAATTAACAGCGAAAAAAATGTTGAACCCCGTGACACAAAAAAAGCCTTTTTGTTGTGCGCGGCGCTTGATCGATCGATCGAGTCACAAACATTAAAATCGTTAATCCCGACTCGTAGCATGCACCCGACTCAAAACGCGAACGACTCTCTCTCGGACGCGTCCGCCAATGTACAAGAAACGAGTTAACAGCCGTGCCGCTGTTTGTCCTCGTTGTTGTTGTTAGGCGGCGGACGGTGCTATGAGTTTCACATCGTCTCGTGGTAGGAAGCGGAGAGGAAGAAACGGAGCTAGGGCGAGATCGTTTTTCTGCGAAGTCGAGCGACGGGCGGGGAGGGCGCAAGGGTCCTTGGAGGGCATGGGGGCGAGAGGTCGCGCAGGGACAGCCAAGGCTGCTATCTCGTGAGCGGAACCTCCTCCCGCTGGTCCAGAGTGAGTACCGCGGGCTTGCTCAGCACTGACGCCGCGTACGGCAGGAAGCTGCTGTCGGAGCGCGTGGTGCACAGGAAATCTGGTCCCGCTCCTCCTCCTCCCGCCGCACCCCCTCCTCCTCCCGCACCCCCTCCGCCACCCGCCGCTCCACCGCCTCTCTGCGCCGCCGCCGCCGCCGCCGCCTGCCGCCGCGGCCGCCGCGACCGCCGCGGCCCCGGCCCCACCCGCCTGGCCGCTGGCCGCCGCGTGGCAACTCAGGCAGGAGCAGTGGGCGCCGCCCGCCTGCTGCTGCTGAAGTCCGTGGTGAGCTGCCGTGTAGAGCGCCGCGGCGGGAGATCGGAATCCGCACAGCAGCTCCGGTCGCGAGTAAGGGTGCGCGTGGTGCAGAGCGGCGCGGAACGAGTCGAGGGGTCGCAGGGCGGCCGCTTGGAAGGGGCTGGCGGCAGGCCGCCCCGGGCCCCATGCCCACGGGGGGGTAGTAGGGCAGGGGCACGTGCGGGGGGAACGGGTAAGGAAGCCCTCCCGTGGCGGCCGCAGCCGCGGCGTGCGTCATCATGTAGGTGTAGAAGCTCGGGTCGGCCGGGTGAGGCCAGGACATGGCCAGGCGCTGCCGCTTGTCTTTCATGCGCCGGTTCTGGAACCAGACCTGTTGCAGGAGAGAGAGAGAGAGCGTAGCGGTTAGCAGCGCGGTGCTGCGGACCCAGCGAACTGAGTTCGATAATTCACGGCCAACGCAGCTGTCGATTATCTGAACCACTACTGGGGCCTATCCCTAGGTCGGCTCCACATCAAATGAGCACCTTGGGGCGATGTGTAAACATTGCCACAAGGGAGACAAAGGCGGCCGGGCGTGGTTCGGGCCACCCACCACGTCGTGTGCCGCGCCGGCCTTTATAGGTGCTCGCTAACAACGCTTACCCAAAAAGTCTATTAAAGCTATACGGGGGGTCTTTGTCCTTGTTTGGTGTTGAGTTTTTTTCTCTTCTGCGTTTGGTTATTGAGTACAGATCGGAATTGCAGACAGATGGGGGTTTTTAATTAAACGCATCAACATTAATATGAAGCTGATGTAAACATATTTCATTCAATCAACAGCAGAGTAAAATAATGATGATTAGGATGGAAGAACAAATATTTCATTCAGCTCGTGCCGTCAATATCGTTGTTTCGAGCAAGCAACCAGAATCAACCACTCACTCCATGGAGCGGTGTTTGAATGCTCTCCAGGTCCGGTCACGCGTTGTCACCCCCAACCCCTACTCTGTGTTGTGGAATGATAATTTTGTTGCGATCATGATGATGATGATTATGCGGTTACGCGTGATTACACATGGCTGGGAGACTTCCTGGAAACACCAGTGGTTTGAAGATCGGGCTGCAAGGTGGCCAGTCTATGGGTAGGTAGCGGCAGGGCCGTCCATAGTAGGTGAGGTGCGGGGCCCAGGGCAAACACAATGTTCCCCCCCCCCCAAGCGAGGGGCCCGGGGCAGTCGTCCTGATTCGCCGTACCCTAGGGACGGCTCTGTGTAGCACGGTAACGCGATGCACATTTGAGTCTATTTATGTGTGGGAAGGTGTTTTAGTATGTCCCACCCCACTTCGTGTTCGAGGTAGGTGTTCTTCGGGCTCTCCAGCTTCCTCCTACGTGGAGCGAAACGCTCATGAATGGAATTGGCCCAACAATACACTTGCAGGAGCCTCCGTAAAGCAAGCCTTGAGACACATTGATGCGACTTTTCTTTTGTCACAGGGAGCAAATTGCGTTCTGATAAAAAAATATATATATATTTTTTCGACCTGTTTAATAAAAAAAAAATACTAAAACATTCCGATGTGGAAGATCGTGAAAGGCGATTGTGTTTCAACTGTTATTTCCACGTGCGTACGTCAACGTTTCGACCTACTGCCCTTATTCAGCCACATATCTGTCAAGGTCAGTTCATCTGCCACTGGACTAAAGTGCACGTCAATGACTGTGAGTATTCAGTCTGCAATCATGTGGCTCTCTGAGCCTTAGCGAACTACAGGCTGACTGAATCTAACAACAAAAAATAATCCATCTTCTTGACAGGCGCGTGCAGGCTGATGTGATATTTTTGATAAGCACCGACTCTTTAGTAAGCACATTAAACTTATCCTACAAACAATTGTCATCAGATTGCTGCGAATGTGTGGTAATGCCAGCTCACCCTGACTGGGAGTAGGCATTCATCCAAGGTAATGATTACGTAGCGTCTAATCTCAGTGTTCAATGGCGGCGGTGGTGGTGATCGTGGTGATAGTGATCATGGTGGTGGTGGTAGTGAGCATGGTGGTAGTGATCATGGTGGTAGTGATCGTGGTGGTGGTAGTGGTGGTAGTGAGCATGATGGTGGTGGTAGTGATCGTGGTGGTAGTGGTAGTGGTGATAGTGATCATGGTGGTGGTAGTGATCGTGGTGGTGGTAGTGGTGGTAGTGATCGTGGTGGTGGTGGCAGTGATAGTGGTGGTAACTCGCACTAATTTGTTCCATTGTTCATTACGAGGTCCACGGAGTGCGAGGAGCTGTAACGATCCTTGGGGTCACGACCTCACTTCACAATGGGGGGGTAGGGGGGGGTCCCGCTTCACACAGAGAAAGGCACCCGTTGCCAAAAATAATAAATCCTTAATTTATTTCGTTTTATTCCAGCGTTTCCATCTGTAGATAATTTACTCCCAAACACATTGCGGGCCGCGCGAGACACCTATCTTTTGGTTTTTCAATCTCTCTCTATTATTTTTATTTAATGAAAGATGAGCTTTAAATTGTGTCATTCCCCCGCCGCTGCTGCCTATGCGGGTCGTACTCCGTGCATGACCTCTGGAACGATGGCCGTGGCCCGGCTATATAAGGCGCGCAGCCACGATCACGCGCCGTGATGGATCTGCGCCGCGCACGGAGGAGCTCAAACCAAACCGTCAGTCAATCACGAGCCGCACTCTGCGGGCCACGGGGAGGATTATTTATCAGCTCAGGGGTGCATCAGTGTGCGCGGTGTGGCGTTTATTTGTTGTGTGTAGATTTGTGTTTGTTCGTGTTTGCGCGTGCACACACAGGTGCTCGCTAACAGCACTTGCTCCAACAGTCTGTTAAGGCTATACGGGGGATCTTTGTCGTTGTGCAGTGGTTGTATCTGCCAGGAGTGCAACGGCTGTGGGGAGCGGTGGGGAAGCGGCAATGTGGGAAGTGGTGGTGTAGTGGTTCAGCGCGCTGCGCTACGAACCCACGAGTTCGATTCGCGCTCACAATCGACACCAGTGACGATTATTTGCATCGGTCCTGGGCCTTCCCTAGGTCGGCTGAGCTTCAAATTAGTACCTGGCGCAGTGTGTAAACATTGCACCAGGTACTTTGCCACTCGGAAAACAAAGGCGGTCGGGCATGGTTCTGGCCACCCACCCCATTGTGTGCCGCGCTGGCCTTCATAGGTGCTCGCGAACAGCACTTGCCCCACCAGCCTGTTAAAGGCTACAAGGGGGATCTTTGTCTTTGCATCTGCACCTCAGTCAGTCAAACCCACGCCACCTGGGCCCGTCCCGTGACCTCCTGCCAGCAGCGAGACCTCGACACTCCACGTGGCATCGGGGTGAACATGGGCCTGGCACACGTGCCGTGGTGACGTCACCGCCACTCAGTGTCGAAGGACAGCTGCTTGACACACACACACCCCTCGTGTGCCGTGCCAGCCTTCAAAGAGGTGCTTCCTGACAGCCCTTGCCCTAAACTATGTCAAGGCTATACGGGGGATATTTGTCTTTGTGTGTGTGTCATTGCGTGTTGGTGTGCGAGTGTGGAATGGCGGTGTAGTGGTTCGATTCCCGCTCAACACCAGTGACGAATATCTGAACCGATCCTGGGCCTCTCCTAGGTCGACTCAGCCTCAAATGAGTACTTGGTGTGGTGTGTATACATCGCTACTGGGGAGACAAAGGCGGCCGGGCGTGGTGATGACCACCCACCCCATCGTGTGCTGTACCGGCCTTCATAGGTGCTCGCCAACAGCACTTGCCGCAACAATCTTTTAAGGCTACACGGGGGATCTTTGTTCGTGCTGTGTTTGTCGGTGTGGGAGTTAGAAGAGAGAGAGAGAGAGGGCCTGGGATGAGGCTCCGCGCAGTGGAGAGGGCACGCAGGCACAGTAATAGCATCGTAAATAACCCGACAAGCGTCTGTGTCGTCACACAAAACATATAAAATAACATTTAAATCCATCAACCAAATGGGCCCTCCGGACCAAAGTTTTTTTTTCTATCAGCAGAAGGTCTTACATTTTATCCGCATAATGATCAAGCAGCGCGCGCGTGTGCTGACGTGTGCGTGTATGTATGTTTTCGAACTGCACTTGCCCCATCTGTCTGTGTAGGCTATACGGGGGGGTTGGGGTGGAGGGGATCTTTGTCTTTTTGTTTTTTGTTTGTGTGCACGTGGTTACGTGTGATTGTGTTGGAATCAGCCGTGCAGTGGTTAGCGTATTGCAACTATGTTAACTACCTCGCCTGGTATACAGGAGGTAGTGGGTTCGATCCAGATCCTGACGCCTGCTGTATATTTGGAGTTTGCATGTCTCTCTCCCCCTGGTCACGTGGATTTTTCTCCGGGTTCTCCGTTTTTTTCCCTCCACATTTAGAAACACGCGTTTCGAGTAATTGGCTGCTAAAATTGTCCACGTGTTAAGCCACTTCGCTGAGCTATCGTTTGTGGCCAGGTCGCTTCTTTAAAAATATATATGAAACTCAATGGGCCTTACCTGGTCAAAACAAAAACATAGTTTAGTTTTTCACGCAACTTTTGTGATGTCACGTGCCATGTAGGGGCATTCTGGGAGCATCGCTCCATTTGGTTGCAATTGCACCTTTATAGCTGCCATGACTCACATTGTCATTGTTACTTTTATTTGCGTCCAGCCTTCACGCACCTGTCACGTGACGAGTTTCTCACGATCGCGTTCAAGCCACTCCTCTCATTACCACCGTCCAATCTCAGAGGCAGTCGCCGCTAACTCGGGGCGACTCGAGGCGATTGCCAATTGTGGTTGCGTCGATTATGGATGATCCGCCCAGTGCACCTCTGCACCCTCCTCTGCACCCACCTCTACATCCACCTCTACACCCACCTCTACACCTACCTCTACACCCTCCTCTGCACCCACCTCTGCACCCTCCTCTGCACCCACCTCTGCACCCACCTCTACACCCTCCTCTGCACCCACCTCTGCACCCGCCTCTACACCCACCTCTGCACCCACCTCTGCACCCTCCTCTGCACCCACCTCTACACCTACCTCTGCACCCACCTCTACACCCTCCTCTACACCCACCTCTACACCCACCTCTACACCCACCTCTGCACCCACCTCTACACCCACCTCTGCACCCACCTCTGCACCTACCTCTGCACCCACCTCTGCACCCATCTCTCCATCCACCTCTACACCCACCTGTGCACCCACCTCTACACCCTCCTCTACACCCACCTCTGCACCCACCTTTGCACCCACCTCTCCATCCACCTCTACACCCACCTCTGCACCCATCTCTCCATCCACCTCTACACCCACCTCTACACCCACCTCTGCACCCACCTTTGCACCCACCTCTCCATCCACCTCTACACCCACCTCTGCACCCACCTCTACACCCATCTCTCCATCCACCTCTACACCCACCTCTGCACCCACCTCTGCACCCACCTTTGCACCCACCTCTCCATCCACCTCTACACCCACCTCTGCACCCACCACTGAACCCACCTCTCCATCCACCTCTGCACCCACCTCTGCACCCACCTCTACACCCACCTCTGCACCCACCTCTGCACCCACTCGCTCCACCGCCTCTCGATCACCGTACCATACACAACGCACCCCAAGCCTCACACCCTCGTGGCGGCCTCCCCTTAACTGAAGGTTCGTCTAAGGAGGCTGCCGAGTGGCTTAAGGGGGAGGGGGGGGGGTATTCATAGCGGCTGTGTTGGAGCCAGCAGCGCAGGGGACGAACATGAGTTCGGATACGGGGTTCAGCCACCCTTGATTCATTCAAACTGTCTGTCTGTCTCTCTCACTCTCTCGTGTGGAGTGTGAACTCTCTGCCCAGTCGCCGATGAGTCTGCAAGACAAGCCTCAGTCGTGTAGAGGTTAGGGGATTGGAATGTGGGGGGGTCTGAGCCATATCATTGACTGTGTTGTGGCCTCATACCCACCTCCTGCCCAAGGTTGTGTATGCCCCGCGAAGCAAGGTCATATAACAACAAGGTTGTAAACCATCGCATTTTAAACGTGTTTGGTTGACCTAATTATTTCACTGTATTACTGCTCTGACAAATGCAAGCTTTATATTTGTTGGACTTGTGATGAACACCGGGTTATTGTTTTCATTTGTGGAGGAAGAGAGAGCAAGACCTTTTTTTAGTTGTTGCAAATAACTGCAGAAGTTGTTCTCTGCGACGGTGACTGTTCGTGAGTGAAGTGCACTATCTGTGCAACAAGGTGGTGCAATGCTTGCTGCACCTCGGGTGACAGCACACAGTTCATGTTGGATTGGGAGCCGTTAGTATTTTATCATAGGCTTAACAGCAAATAACAAATCAGTTTTTTATTATGTTTAAATTAATCATTTACAGCCATTTGTCAATCCACTGCTGGATGAAGGCCTACCTACATTGCGTCGGTCCAAGTGGATTTGTGGATTGTCTGAGCGTACTTCACCACGCTGGTGGTGGAGGGTCCAGGCCCGGTTCCGTTACATCATCACTCGCCACTGACGTGAGCCGTGGCCAGGGGTCAAACTGAGGTCGCCGGCTTCATGGTGCGATGCGCTAACCCCATCAACCCCGCAACACACGGCCACCAAATTCCCTGCCTTCTTCTCGCCATCACCGTTCTCATTGTACTCACAATCAGCATCTGGTATCGCGTATCTGGTAACGGAGATGCGGGGCAACGATGGTGGCGTTTTGCCTTGAAAAAATAAATTGGGTTCGTGATGAACAGTAAGTTACACACGAATGATTACCATTATTTATTGTTATGATAACCACCAGAAGGTGTGATATGTATGTAGGTAGAACTTATTTCGCACCGTACGTAGCCAATCGGAAATGAGGGGAGGGGACATCAAACTAAACACAAGAAGCTATGAAGCTCTTTTTTGCACAGATGGTCAGCAAGTTACATCAGAACAAAATGCATAAAAGGTGCAAGAGTAAGATGGAGAGAAGTTAAGCAAGTCACAATGAAGTGAATAAATGCATATAAATGAGGAATGGGAGTACACATTGTGCAAGTGTATTGATTCCTGCAGTTTTATCAACACCAAATGCAAGCTTGGGGCAAGGCAGCAAAACAACAACAACAACAATCCAAGACAATACAGTCCCTCGATTATAGTGCGCTTCAGAATGGAACTATCAATACTGGGTAATGTTCAGAGTTACAAATCTTATTGGCAAATGTGGCTGCCGTATCCTGCGCTCGTCTTTTTTTGAAGGCGATGTTTTGAAGGAAGAAGTGCTCGATGAAGGGAGGAAACTAGGTTCTTCCAAAACGTTGGTGCTGCAAGAGCAAAAAACATCGTCACCTATTCCAATTTCTTTGTTGTATGCATATTTAAAAAAGCAATTTGATAGACGTGTTAGGTTTTTTGGGTACGACAATTGGGTTCATGAATTAGTTAAGTGTAGCGCAGATTTGTCAATAAGGATTTTATGGATGAACATGGCCCAGTGTAGATTTCTTCTTGCGTAAAGTGACGTGAGATTGAAATTTAAGTAAAGATCACAATGGTGGGTCCTGTATGGTATATCCAGTAGAAATTGAAGAACAGAATGATAAAGCGGGTTAAGTCTGTTCCGTGTTTCATTTGTAGCTCATCTGTGAGCAACGTCACAGTACACACGAAGTGGTCGAATGATAGCTTCAAAAGTTTGCAGGCGCAATCGAATGGGAAAAGAGCGTTTGTTATTTGTATATTAAAAAATATTTGATTTTCTTCGAGACGTGATCAATAGGCGGTTGGAAAGTAAGTTTTGAATCACTCAGTAAACCCAAGTATTTGAAGCAATCCGTTTGTTCAATGATGTGCTTTATGATACTGCATCCCATATATCTCTACCATCTCACTGTGACACCACGTGGAGACCACGTGGACACACACGCACCTCGACGGCCCACACCTCCACGACCACCTCGCGACCGACACCCACGCGGCACACCACGCATGCGTCCACCACCCACCTTGATGGTCGTCTCGGGCAGGTTGAGCGCCGCCGCCAGCTCGCACCGGCGAGGCCGCGAGACGTAGTTCTCGCGGTAGAACTCCTTCTCCAGGCGCCCGATCTGCTCCCGCGTGAACGCCGTGCGGTAGCGCCGCACCCCGTCCGAGCCCAGGGTCCCCCCGGGTGGCCCCGCGCCGGGACCCGGGCCGCTGCCCTGGCTGGACTGGAGCCCCCCCCCGCTGCCCCCCAGCTGCCCGTGGCTGCCCCCGCCGGGACTCGGCGAGTCTGGGGGGCCGTCGCCAGAGCCGGCGGCGCACTTGGAGCGGCTCTCGTGTTCTGCGAGCGGTTTCGAGATGAGAGGCAAATGGAGAGAGGGTTTTTTCAAGAAGAGTTCCAATTGGCTAATTGATTGATATCAGTACGCAGCCCTTTGTCGATCCACTGCTGGATGGAGGCTCGTTTGACTGCACTTCATCGCACCGGTCGAATGCGCGTTGGCGACGGGGAGAGGATCGGGACAGGTTCGGATATCACTCGCCACTGATGTGTTAACCTTGGATGGGAATCTAACTGGTTCACGGCCAAAGAAATGTAATTCAGTGTCGTGGAGTATTTTGTTGTGTTCGTGAATTCCTGCGCATGTTTGTATATAAAAGCAGATATGCATGCATATGCGCGTTAGTTTTGGGCACGGTGTAGCACATTCAGTTACCTAGGTTCAATTCCTGGCCATGGCTTACCGCAGTGGCGAGTGATAATTGGATCAGGCCTGAGCCTACCCGAGGTCGACTTAACCACGAACAAGTATTTGGCGCTGTCTGCAAACGTCGGGACTGGGGATACAAAGGCGGCCGGGCAAGGTACAAGCAACACCACCCTTTCATACGATCTTAATACAGGAAATAATACAAACGGGGGATCTTTGTATTCATATATATGTGTATGTCCGCGTGTGTATGTGTGCGTGCACATGTATATTTACGTCTGTATCTGTGTATGCGTGATTAAGCTGCACTTGCCCCAACAGTCCGTTAAAGGCTATACGGGGGACCTTTGTCTCTGTGTGTGCATACCGCATGGTGCTGACCACACCATCCCCTCGTGCGCCGTGTCGGCCTTCATCGGCGCTTTGCGGACAGCACTTGCCCCGACAGCCTGCGTGGGCTACGCGGGGACCTTTGCCTCTAGCCGTGCGTGTAGTATATGTGTGTCCATATATAAAGACTTCTGGTCAGCGTTACGCGTTATCTTGATCGATTTATCACAAGAAGGTACAAATCATTCTGACAATATTTCTATATTTACCAATGAAAGCCTCGCTGAGTCTCAACCAAATGTATTTCTTTTTTCTTCACAAGGGTCCTCCATGGGTTTACGACCTCTTAAATGAGTATTGTTATTTATGTATTCTGCCGGCGAAATCTCCAGTTCCCAGAGAAATCCCCGAGCATACGAGGGGATAGAAATCAATGCGTTTGAATGCGGCGTTCCGCATAGACCAGGGGGTTGGAAACAAAAAAAAAATAACAACAAGAAGAGCCATTTCTTTTGATCGAATTCGCAAAAGAATAAAAAAAAAACACCCCTCGATATTTCAAGAGCCGCAATGCACTGCGGTGGTGAATACGAGACGGGTGTGGGTCCTCTAATAAAGAACTGTCACGAAGCGGTTCCTTCATGAGCCACCGTACGCGGCTCCGGACTCGCTCGTTGCCACCCCCTGGGGCATAGACAACAGGGGTATTGTGTTCGGTGCATTGTGACGCTGTGAGTGTAACCCTGTATGTATACTAGGTAGCTACGGTCAGCGCACTGCGAATACAGATGTCGGAGTTCGATTCGCGGACACGGATAACATCGGCGGTGAATGAGATCGAATAGATTTCTGGGTCCTCCTCTCCCCCCCATTCAACAAAACGCATTGATCAGCGTGGTAAAGTGTTGACAAAGACAAAGATCCCCCGTATAGCCCTAACAGACCGTTGGGGCAAGTGCTGTTAGCGAACACCTATGAAGGTCCGGCATGGCACACGAAGGGGTGGGTGGCCAGCACCACGTCCGGCCGCCTTTGTCTCCCCAGTGGCGACGTTTGCACACAGCACCAGGTACTCATTTGAGGCTGAGCCGACCTAGGAGGAGGCCCAGAACCGGTACCAGATAATCGTCACCGGTGTCGGCCGTGAGCGGGAATGGAACTCTGGTGGCCGGCTTCTTCGGGAAGCCTTCATCGAGCAGTGTAGTGGGAAAATATTATCGTTAATGTTTTCATTTAGATTCATCCCATTAGCGATTAATTATCACTTTTCCGTTCACAATTGTATTCAGCTATCAATTACGTTTTTTTCTAGTTTGCGTGTTTGTTTGTTTTGTTTTTGCCTTGTTCGTGAGATTAACCTAGGAAGCCAGATGGTCATACAATGGTGCAAACGTTAGTTGTCTGATCCACTATCTACACAGTCTTGATGGTTAAAATCTATTTGAATAAATAAATTTGTCAAATGACACACGCTTCTTAATCCCGGAGATTGCCCGAAATAATAGTGCAGCCGCCGACTGTCTACTGTGTGTGGTCCGCCGTGTGGCACGAGTTTATTCCACTGCGTGGCACGTGCTACTCTACCGTTTGCCAGGTGACAAACGGGTTTTGAATCATCTTCTTGGTTCTTTCGGTAAAGTCACGTAGAAGGAAAATAATAAAATAATAAAAATAAAACATAATAAAATAATTCTCACGACGTTTCGGCCACATGATTCTTTACCCGTACCCGTACCCGGCCGCACCAGAGTCAGTCGCAAACGGGTACCCGTACTCTACCCGATACCCGGCCGGGTATGGGTAGGGTACGGGTATCGGGTACCCGATTGCAACCTCTGGGATGAAGCCATGTTGCAGGCGCGGGTGGGTTGATTCTCGGAACTTGAATTGTGAGAAGAGACAAGACGTTGGGAAATGAGTGACAAACGGTTACTCACCAGTGACTCACGGCCTGCCCGTACCCGTACCCGGCCGGGTACGGGTAGCCGGGTATCGGGTAGGGTACGGGTATCGGGTACCCGATTGCGACCTCTGCCGTGTGCCACGTGTTACTCTCCCGTGTGACACGTGTTACTCCACTGCGCGTCACTATGTCGTATGTCACGTGCTATTATGTTACCACGTGCTAACCCGCTCGATTCGGCGCTGCACAGGTTGATATATGCACACGATTTCTCCAACGCGAACTTTAGACTTTCGCAAAGATTCGCTTTTCGAAAGAGAGATGATGCAGAGAAACGCAATCGAGTTACCGAACCTCCATGTGCATTAACGTTTACATATTTTTAAATATGTTCGTCATATTTGTATGTTTCATAATGATCATCATCAACTGCGCATCATCATCCAGCTGTTAATCAGCATCCATCAACCATTCATTAAATATATGTTCTGCTCATTATCATCAATCGACTACAACCTATCATCATTGATCAACTGGGAATCATTATGATCATTAATACATTTTTAACAATTATAATCATCGCCAAAATGATCATCATCATCTTCACACATCATCACGAGCGCCAATCAATCAATCGACCACAAATAATTTCCGTGAATAATCACCAGCGGTGGATAGACCATGGCTGATAATTATTCACGAAATGTTTCATGGCCGATTAATTGATGCGCGTGATGATGGATGAAAATGATGATTGTAATCATGATGGCGATTATTCTAATAATCAGCCATGCTCTGTCCACTGCTGATTAAGTCCCACCCCCCACCCCACGCCTCGACCATCCCTCACGGCCCTGCGATGCCACCACCCATCATCTCACTCGCGCTCGAGGGCTTGGTAGTCTCTCCTTGTGTACGAGCCTGTGATCACCGAGTGTGTGCTCGCGACTGGGTGGACACTGCAGACAATGTCATCATTGTTGCTGTTGTTGCTGCGTGTGTTGTTAATCTATTAAGTCAGAGCTGCGTGATCGATCATGCCATTATCATCATCATCAATCGCATAATCCATGTTCGATCCACTGCTGGATGAAAGCCTTCTCACGCTGTCGCCATCCATCACGGTCCACTATAGCTACCCATCTTATCGTATTGAAGGCTATAAAAAAAAGGCAGCGTGAAAGACATTACGTTATTTGTAAAGTAATTCGCAAACGTTATAAATTGGAACTTGTGTATTAATTTTGCATCGAATAGGGTACGCACTAAAGGTTGTACTACAATAAAATGAATAGCATTCAAACAATATATTGCGAATCAATTGTAATGTGCGTCTGACGAGCGGAAGAACGTGTCAACTACACAACAAAGGAACGAGCTAAGAGGAGCTGCTGCTGCTGATTAGGGTGAGACTTTAGGAACAGACCTCGTATGTACCGAATGTATGTTGAACTTCTTTCGCACCGTACGAATCCAGATGTCGAGAAATCTAACAACGACGGGATCTATGAGAAAGAAGGAAGCGACCGCGAGACGTGACGGTCTGAGCGTTTCCGTGATGTCACTTTCACGACAGTGTATTCGTTTATCGCATGACGCTTACCGTGATACCGTTTGCCCCCTATGTGTAACTGTTAGCGTTCGATCTGCGTTCTTATTATCGTCATGTTCCTGTGCTCTGCTGCACTTCAAGGATGAAACAGGAGCACTTTAGTGTTCTTCAGCTGCGGTTCACTTGACGCACGCCTACCACCAGTCCTGTGATATACTGCGACTTCGCAGTCAATCTATAGCGCTCAGAACCCATGCGCTGTCCGTTACTCGGTGCCTAAGTGAGGAAATTAAATAGAGCCGAGTACATGAAGACGTCATATCAGTCAATCGCTCCGGCAAAATATTAGTTTTTCCATATGTATTTACACATATAAAGAAATCATTTAATTGGATATATATAGTTATACATGTAATTGTTGCGCGCGTTATTTCACATATATTATGTCTGCGAAAAAAAATACGTATATAAATGTTACCTAATGTAAGCAAAGTTAATCACGATATAACAACGACGTCTATGCAAAACGGAACGATACGATAATCGTGGTGGACCTTATATCGTACGACACATCGCGATATCGCCATATCGCGATATCGCCATATCGCGGCGAACCTACTTTGCATCAGCCGCCATTGGCCGTGATGACTCCGTGACCTTGATGGTCACTCGGCAGAATATTGACGGTCGTCATTGCCTCCCGCTTGACGGAGTGGAATGTTTAGGCTCCGTGACAATACCCCAACTATTCAGCACCAATACCAATAGCCGCCATTCGCCACTAAGCGACGGTGACGTCACCACAGCGCCTGTGCCAGGCCAGGTGCACTTTGAGGCCACGTGAA